ACAGCTGTAAATCTTAGCTGTGACCTTGAATACTGGTGCTGGACTTGACTTTACAAACTTTGCTTTCTACCCATTAAGACAGTTGCAAATTGCACCCTGAAAAATTCTGTGCTTTGACATTTGGGAAACCATGGCCATCTACAGCACATTTCCATGATCACTTATTTTCCAAGTCATCATTTTTTTAGCAGAACTCACTGAATTCTGTCCTGAATAAAAAGATCTCCAGAAAATCACTGAATCTAACCAGTATAACTAACCCAGCCTAAGCCGGTCTCCTCAYTGCTGCCACTACTTTCCCTGTTTGCTGGTGCCCAAGTACTCTCCTGCAAGACCCTCTGTACAGCCAGATAATCAGTTGAATTTCCATGATGTGTTGATTCAGAGCACCAGCTCCRTTTTGAAGCATCACTCCCACTCATCACACAGTGGCTCACTGTGTAGAAAAGTTTTAAGCATGCAAAAATGCTTTTTTTTACAGAGGAAACTAAACCAGAGCTCCACTTCTGGTATGTGTTTAAAGTGCTCTTAATGGGAACATTGGGCTGAACTAGCAACTGGTCCTTCAAGCTGTGTGTGGAACAGACATTTAGGACAGGGAACCAAACAAAACCCAACACATGAGCTGCACATTACGAGGATGGATGGATGGATGGATGGATGGATAGATGGATGGATGGATGGATGGATGGATGGATGGATGGATGGATGGATGGATGGATCTGCTGATCTGCTGATCCATGCTTGTTGAATTAAATTACTTGTTCATCAGGATACAGCCCATGGAGTGCATCAAAGAGTAGATTGCTCTCCCATAGCCTATGCTCAAATTTTTAGCAATATGCAACAAGCAAGTCCTATTAACAAAAAGGGGCTAGCAAATGTCAAATGTCAAAAAGATTGCATAGTTCTGGGCTCCCAATGGTTTGAGCACTATTTCTCATTCATGCATRCACATATAATATCTTTCAAATAAAATAAAGTACATACATGAACTCTGTGACTACCTGCACTCTTTGTTACTCTGACCTCACTGGCTACTATCCTTTTAGCCTGGCCCTCCTAAACCCATAGGCTTTATGCAAGCATCATGACAGCGATGGATCTTGGCAAAAGATAAAGAAAGAGAGAAAAATAATTTCACAAAACAGGTCAAAGAGGGCACTTCTTGCATAAGACTCTGTGTAAAGACACATATCAAAGTGCTCGTACTAATGGTGTCATTTTAGCTGACAAAAAAACCTTTTAACAGCTACAGCCTGCAGAGTGGGGGCAAGAAAAGCACCAGAAAGAAGCTTAAAAAAATCTGAAGTGTAAGCTACAAAGGATCTGAGCAAGTACTGTAGGAGCAAGGACAAAAATGAAGTTAGAGTTTCAGAAACTATTTTGATGAAGACCTATATAATCTCTAGATGCCTGACAGAACAAAACCCCAAGAACATGGACATCACCAATGAAAGGGGAAAGTCCTCATCTGTTCCAGGCTTTCCCATCCCACCTGCTGGGGAGGGAAGGGATACAGCCAGCCCCTGACCCACCCGCTCCGCAGAGCCCCGAGGGCCGGCGCCCGGTGTGCATCCAGTCCCGCTTCATCCTCTGCAGCAGCCTCAGAGCCGTCATGGACACCTCGTGGTTCTTATCCCCAAACTCCAGCATGTGTGCAAAACGAGGAATATACAAGCACGGATCTGCAACAGAAAATAACACTATTATTGGTAACCCTACCATCAGTTTAGGAAATGCAGTGTAGAGAGGCTGCTGTGCTCATCTGGCTTCACCTCTGCAACGCAGACTGTGCTGCAGGGCCAGATCCTCTGATCACTAAGCTGTAGAAGCACCTTTTTAGGCAGGCTAAGACAAAAAAAAAATCTTGCTTTATAGACAAGAGATCTTCAAAGCTCTGCACAAACATTGTTACATGCTTTTCAGCGTCCACAGCTGCACATGCTGACTCTGACATGAGAGCAGTGTTACCAGTATCAGTGAAATCATGCCCAAAGTGAAACACTTAACAAAGCTTTTGAAGACTGAGGACTCAGTCTGCAAAACTTCTAACATCTCTCGAAAAGTAACAAGGTAACTTGCATGTTTCATTTCAAACCTAACTACAAACTACGCTTCAAGAAAATTCATTTGCTTAAAATCCTCCCTAACAAAAATCTAGTTACCTTCAAAGTAAATTCCAGCTGCTTTTCAGACTCATATTCTAACACAAACCACTGTTTATTACAGACACTAAGGTAGACTCTCCATCAGCATAAAGCACTGAAACCCAATTAACATCAATAGCACCATGACAATTTACATCGGCCACAGATCTGYCTGCAGATGTATAAACTTAATTCAAGCTTAATTCAAGTAGGTGTTATCAGCTTCAAACTAACCAAAATATGTCAGTACGGATTGTGCTCTGCCTAAACCRATTTATAATTTATCAAACAATCTTGTAAAAGCTACACTTAACACATGTTTACTCTTAGTTGAGATATCAATTTCTCATTTCCTGCCTGCCTTTTATCACTTGACCGAAAATCCATGAAGTACGGTAAATTGTTAACTATTAGTCTCAACTCAATTTCCTCTGCTGATCCCCTATGTGGGCACTTAAACTGATAAAGATGAAAATTCAGCTCAAAACATTGGAAAAATCTTAGGGATTTACAACTAATCAAAGCAGTTTCATTTAGCACCAAGTTCTAACAATGATGCCCTGTTGCTATCCATAATTACCAAGATGACACTGTAGGTGATAACGCCTGTCAGCCCCCAGAAGCATTTAAATGAAAGCACTTACAAAGCAAGAACTTMTAACCTCAAACTCCCTAAAAACTGAAGAAATTCCAGACTGCAGCTCCCTYCTAAACACGGCCCTAAAAATCAAAGGTTTAGGAGAAATTTACCAATCCCCATGATTCTAAGGACAGGTGATTTTATAAAGCTCTACTCTAGAGAAATTACCAAATCCAAATTCAACAACAACAACAAAAAAACACCTTTCAGAAGCCATAGCCTGGGGTTCAACATACATTTAAACTTTGCTCTTTGCACTACAGGAACACGTGCGATGCTACAAAGTAATGCCCGGTTTGGTTTTCCATCTCCTCTTCTACAGAGAGTGCCCAACTTCCGCTCCTGCAGCCACCAGAATGGAGCAGAGCAGAGCAAGGAATAATTCTCAGCTCTYTCTCTGGAGCTGAGTTTCAGAGCTGAGTTTCGGCAGCATTTACACATTTGCATTGTAGCTGTTCAGACATTTTTTCTGGCATTCATGCCCACAGGTCATTTGACAAAACATTGCACATCGTTAATTTGAATTCTGATGCTACCAAACAGCCAGAAAATGAATACGTGGGTGGGTTTTAAATAGCAAGCCTTCAAGAAGCCAAAAAAAGTAAGAGGCTGTATATTATAAATCAGAAGCGGAGTTCAGGTTTGCATAGATATGTCCTGCATGGATATAAACATTTGAAAATAAATACATAAATGTTAGAAGATGCAAACCCCAAACACGTTGCTTCCTTCCAGGGGCACCAAACCAGCATGGTGCACCGAGGGTGCCCTGTTCCTACAAGGGTCCCCTTTGGCTTTGGGTGACCCCTGGAGCTGAATCCCTTCCACACAGGTTAGCAAGTTCCAGTCGGGCAAAACCCCGTTCATTTTCCTCAAAGGGGATGCTGGGGGCCATGAAACAGATCACAAGAAAAACTTTATTTCATGTTTTAAGAAAAGAGCATGCCGTTTTCCGAAGACCTTCCCTTCTCTCTCGATCGCAATTCTGACTTAAAACTTGGACTTTTGGAAGAACTTTGCTGCCATATAGTYACTAAGAGGGATGCAAGAAGAATTTCGAGCGCTGCTTACAAGAGAGCTCCCCACCAAAAGTGGCTCCCGGGCCGGGAGGGCCCGCAGCGAAGCGGGAGCCCATCCCCGCTGCAGGTCGCCCCCAGGAACGGGCACAGACGGGGGCTCAGCCCTCGCCCAACGATCCCGGAGGATGGGCGGGCCGGGAGGGCGCGCACAGGCGGGGCACGGCGGCTGCGGGAAAGGACAGCAAAGCC